CACACACACACACACACACACACACACACACACACACACACACACACAGGTGAGGCACCTTGACAGAGCTCCTGAAACCAGTAAATCAGTGCTTGGTTACATAGGTTGAGCCAGACAGCGTCAAGGAAATCACTTATCTGCTGATCAGTACCCTCTGCTGGGGTGCAGTCAATTCAATAACTGAGATGGTAGCACTTACAGTAAGAGCAGCCAGATAATAGACTGTCTTTGAATCTTTGTCAGTCAAAAGAGATTAAATAATGTCACTTTGTGTTATTTATTACCAATTTATTTACCCCATGATTCCACCTCCACACATTCCATGATATCCACTACATTGTTTTAGACACCTATTGAAACAACTTTAATTGCCTTTTTAAAATGAAAATCATCCTTCTATGAATGATATTCTAAAATAGTCCAAGCAATTATTACTTAAGGAGTGTAAAATGTAAATATCCCACATCATTTCAAAGCTGTTAAACGTTGCGAACTAATGAGTTTCTTCTCTTAAATTGATCAGTTTGGAGTTTTCTCTGTGTCGACTAATGTATTTTAGTATCACATTAACAAATATTTCACTATTTTGTACTTTTAGTGTATTTCTCAAATTCCATTTTAGAATATATGAAGTTGCTACAAGGATCTTTCTTGGCAAAATTCACATTTTGTTTCCAGCAGCAGCAACAACAGCAGCAGTGTAGTTTGAGTAAACGGAGAAGAATCCTACCATAGCTGGAAATACGAGGGAGAAAGTTACATCCCCCAGAAACTCATATTCCATCAACAGAAGATCCAAGAAAGTCCCAGTTAATCTCACATAGTTTAATTGCCAGTGAATTTCTGCAAGTCACAGATTAACCCACCTTTGTTGTGGGCCTCCAGCTGTGACAAGGAATTGACAGCCACCTTGCACAGGGAGCAGTACAGCAGCTTCTTTGCCTTGTCCTCCTCTGTCTCTGGATTGGACAGGCTGGAGGCCCCGGCGGCTCCTGAAACAGGGGGTCCAGATCCAGGCTGCTTTGAGCTGGCGCTGCCAGTGCCGCAGCCTAGGGAGGATGAAGAAGGGGTGGGCAGGAGGGGGCACACCAAGGGCATGGGGGAGTCCATGGGTGGGGTAAGCGGGGTGGGAAGAGGGGGAAGGGGCCCCGGGGCCAGCAGGGACCCGTTTAATTGTGACAGAGGCTGTGTTTGATCTGAAAATAACAAAGAGAGAAACAAAGAAAGAAATAGAATACATGTCAAACGCAGGGCAAAGACAAACCAAAGAACTGATTTTGTGGTCCAAAAAGTACATGACTCAAACAATAAAGTGTTTTACTATTGACTTCATTGTCTTCAAACTCAGCGGTGAAGCAAAGTGCCCGTGACATAAACTCTGCTATTATGTTAAAACACATCGCTTATCACACCCAGCTGAAAGTAGAAGTCACGTGATGCATAGATCAGACAAACCAACATAAACCACTTGCAGACGGAAGTTCTTTTAAAGTGGATCAGAGGAGAAAAAAAACAAATGTCCCACATGTGTCAAATCATGGGCATGCGTTTAATATGCTTATTAGGCTTTTTGAAGTTTTTGAGCCAGTCTTTCACTGATGTGGTCTCATCTTATTGAAATATTTCCAAAGTGAGAAATGGGAAACGGATATCACAGCATGTGCATGTGTTATTTTTGGCTGGGTTTGAAGCAAAATAACACTTGCTTTGTCATTAAGTGAGCTCTCCTCTCGCTCTCTGCTTACTCTCCTGCTCGCTCTCTGTAGTTTTAATTTCTTATTGTTGCATGTGTTTGATTGCATTACGGCTACTCTGTCTTTTTTTTAACATGGAAAATAATTATACATACTGTACATTGCCAGACACATGTTTCTGGTCAGCCACTCCCATACGCAATACCTTTGGTATTCTCTAAGCAATGGGTGTTGACTGAAAAAAGACCCCCTAAATTTGGGTGGGGTATTCAGAACTCCCCCCATCAGAGGGGAGTAGCAGGCCCTTCTCCAAACTCCACAGGATGTACTGTAGCGCCGAGGACAGGCAATGGAAAACCCCCCTGGATTATGGTATTAAAGGGATAACATGGAGTATTTCTGGGAAGAAAAAGAAAACAAACATTGACTTAAATTTCCGTTTAAGGATTCCCATGTGCTTTGTAATTTTGTCACATGGCAGAGTCCATAGGGGTTGTGATATATTTATGTTTTTGTCCCACCCTGTGAGTTTTATGTGACTATATGATTATCTGTGTGATGTTTAGTTGCTCTGGCTACTCCATTGCATCGTCTCTGATGAAGATGCCATTGTGAGTGGTTTTCATTGCATTTCAAAACTCCCCTTTATTACATATTGGAAGTTGCCAGCTGCAAAGCTACTGGCTGCACAGAGAGCTTCAAACACATGTTTTATTAAAAAGGTAAAAAAGAGAATACATCTGACTCTATATGACATTTAGGAGTTCATAAACTAGGTGCAGAGTGAGGGTAAGTGATCTTTGGAGAGTTTTGTGACTCATAATGTGTTTACTTTGCCACAAGCTGTCTGAGCTGGTTAAGTTGATTGCAGAGCTTGTACCTACCTAAGTGCAGGAAGGCAAAATGACAGAGAAGCTGATCGTTATCTCCATAATTGTTGATGAATTTCGCCCACACACAGGCACGTACGTACGCATGCACATGACTTTATTACAATGCAAAGAAACAAACCCAGAATCCACAGCGGCCATAACATGTGGTCTGAGTTAAAATCAAGTGGGGGAGGGATGGAGATGGTTTGCCAAATAGTAATGAGGGATTTCATGATCCATGATGGCCTGGAGGTCTGCCTTACCAAACCATCACATCCAGTCACTGTTTCACCTCATACTACAGTGAATGTCTCAACACTCATCCCCCTTAGAACAAGTTCAGCTTGAGGCTAACCCCTCAGGGCCTCCGTAGCCACAATAATTCACTGTCTGTCTCAGCAACCCAAAATTACAAATCTCACTGACCAGCAAAATATTTTTCTGTCATTTACTGACTAAAATGAAAAGCACGTAAGATGAATTCTATATGCGCTCCGAGTAGCTGAGAAAAATTGTAATGTTTTTCTTGCACTGCAACCCCACTGTCAGAGTTATTTGAATCTCCAGAAACTAGGGATGTGCTTTAAGCCTAATTAAACATTGATAAGGCAGTTAACTGACCTTCTTCCCTGCTAGCGCGCCTCATAGCCAAACAGAAGAAGGCATTATTCACTGGGAGAGGTCAGCAGAGGGAGATAACTCTGTCCAGATGCTTTAAACTATAGTCTGGTGTGTATGCATTGCCTTAATCCACCTCAGGAAATTAAAGCTATGTATAGTATGCACTCCATGGGGAGAGGTTTTGTTGATAAAGCCGTGGGATTCAATACAGACTAAGTCAAATTCAGAACAAACCACTTCCGTTGTTTGCTGTTTCAGTGTGAAATTAACTCTGCGATAACTTCTTTGAAATGTAATAAATAGTGTGAATAGAATTGGTGTGAAAAAAGCTGAATATTAAGGAGTGCCCATGAAAGCAAATGTTCCTTATTGTACAAAGAATGAGTCGGGAACCCGACAATGAGTAAGCTTTTTGTTGTGATATAAAATGTAAAGTTGAAAGCAGAACAACAGAGTTACTGCCATAATCAATCCTGGGTGGAGGTGGACATTGTGCAGTGATGATACACTTTGTTTTATTTCAAATTTTGAATGAAAGTTTTGCAATTTAAACCAAGGCAAACAGATTACAAAGGCTTGCATGAGTCTTTGATTGTTGTGAGATACTGTTCCAGCTATTTTTACCAGGAGGCTTAACACAGGAGGGCATATTGACTGTGTGGGTAAGATAGTTTGTTGGTAGGTATGTTTCTGTGTGTGTGTGTGTGTGTGTGTGTGTGTGTGTGTGTGTGTGTGTGTGTGTGTGTGCCCGTGTGTGCCCGTTCTTAATGATTAAGGAGCTAAGAAACTCAATGCTGACCCGACAAGAGCCGAGCCTCATTCATAATGTAGTTGGGTGCCTTTTTCCCAGTCTGGCCTCCATCCAAACTCTAAGTCACTCTCACACACACACACACACACACACACACACACACACACACACACACACGCCACACATGCAACTGTGTATTAGATTCTCTTATGTTGATTATTTTACGTTGATTTAATCAAATGGCTCACTTCAAAGAAAAATAAATAAATTCCCTGAAATCTCCAAGACTAACAATAAATATAGACAGAGCATGAAAAGCATATCAGCTCTGTGTAACTCGATACGATAGTCACCTCATAGCCATGCAACCCAAGCCCTCACATGAAAGTCATCTGTTTAATTGACCCTGGGTGTGTGTGTGCGCCTGCGAGTGTTTATGTGGCCTAAAGAGCGGCACAATATCAGTGTGGTTTTAACAGGGCCCTTCATTAGAGTGGGAGTGTCAGACAGCAGAGGGATAAAGAGGACGGGAAGGAGGGAGGGAGTAAGCAGCTGTCTCTCCGTTGCTCAGCCAAACCTTCAGCTCACCAAGCCTAATTCCCCAAAGCCAAGGGCCTCCTTTGCAACTTTGACCGCAAGCCCTTTGAGGGCTATACAACTCGTGAGCTGTTCTGATAGCCGTAAGGTTAAGGAACCAACAGCACTGCCATAACTAACCTGTCACTGTTTTAGCCTTCAGCAAGGTCTCAATGTGTCCTGCTTGAAGCCATCACTGCTGACTGCATTTGATACGCTAATGAGAAGTGATGCTTTATAAGGTCATTATACCAATGCTAGCCAATACTTCGACTGTATCCTAACTGAAACTCTCGGAAGTGATATTTTATAAAATCCCAGATCAACAAACAGACCATTCACAGGAAAAATGCCACAACATCAACAACAAATGCTTCTCTGTGTTGTGGGAGATTTGCACTGCGGGAAATGTTCAAGTCGTCCTTCCATCTGTGCGCTTGCATGTGCCTGCCCACAATGTTTGTGTATGTGTGTGTATAGGTGTTTGCATGCATTATGCATTCGGCCGACGTGTCTTTGTCAGTTTCAGAGTAACTGCCCCATAGTGACACATACTAGTGTTCACAAGCCAAATCACAGTGTCCGTCCTCCAGACGCTGCTTTCCCAGTTGAGGCCACACACAGCTGCCTGAGATCTGTTCCCCTACTATAAAGAAGAGGGACAGGATCACATTGAGGACATGCATACACACAAGCAGTCACTCACAAGCAAGCGAACATGCAGGCAGACCAGGAAGAGACAAGCTTCCAGGGTCACGAGAAAGAGGCTTGGATGGAAAAAGGCATTCTTTCTCATGTTACTACTTTCAGATTTCGGTCATGGCAGGCTTGTTTTGGCTGCTCATGCTTTTGGAGCTCGCCCCGGGAATTCTCACTAATGGTGACAGATCTCAGATCCCCGTCGGAATGAGAGTGAAAAAGAATGGCCCTCTTACTACTCTGGGATCAGCATAAAGAAAATCTTACATTTGATTTGTATGCATAAAAAGAGAGACAGTGATTTGCTAAGGTCTTTGCACTAGTATGTTGTGGCCTTTTGACCTTTTTATTGGACCTGTGTTTTGTATTTTCACTCTTTGTATTTGCTCTTTGCCTCCCGGTCAATAATGTTGAAACGTCTGGTAAACAGTCAGCTACAGACACCTTTGTAAATGTCACCAAAACATGGCCGGTCTATTCATTGCCTTGTGTTTCATCCAAGGACAGAGTGACACTGAGAGAATGGAAAACTCAGAGTGGAGAAGGGCAAAGGCACACAGCAACCAGCCTCTGAATTTGCAGCTTCAAATAGGAAGATGAGAAAGTCAGGGAGAGAGAACGTAAGACTGAGACAACAGAGTCAGGGCAAAAGAGATACTGCTAAAGAAAGAGCTTGTCCTCTGTCCTTACCAACTAATAGAGAGAATCTACAGTGAATTACTGTTCATTAAAGTCCGATCAGCTGCTGTCTCTGTCCTTTCAGATGCTGGCTTTGATTCTGGTCAAAGTCTTCCACAATGGTGTCATCTTTATTTCTCTTAAATAAGTCTTAGCACTCATTACCACCACCCTGAGCTCAGGCAACATGGTCTATTTTGACTCTTTGGCAAATGGTGTTGCACTTCTCAATAAGTCACTGCAAACACACACACACACACACACACACACACACACACACACACACACACACACGAACACACGAACACCACAGTGAGGTTCCTTGAAAAGATGCCAAGAAACTGCCATGTGACCATATGACAACTCACCTGCTCGCAGTCTAAATGGACAGGCACCAAACCAGTTTAACATTGCACAGCTGAACAAAGCATTGCTGTGGTTAGCCTGGACTAATACAGGGGCTTGTGTGCAGTAGTGGAATGATGTCTAAACTTGTCACTCATAAAGACTTTTTGGTTTGGTTAGTCTATTCCTCTCTGTGCTACTCAGCTGTCGGCCAGACAAGATCATTGTGCTAAATTAAAACAAAAAGCTTGTGATCTGAACTAATGAAGCATTAGTATACTTTTATGACAGTGCACATTTGTTTTTTGCATACACTATCTTCATGATTTGTCTTCTATGTAAGAAATAAGTATTACATATGTTATATTTGGTTAAGACTGTGTTAGCATTTCAATTTAGGGTTCTCAACCTTGTAGGAGAATAGGGTCAGACTTCTTCTGTTTTTATTTAAATGTCCCTATAAACCGGTTTCCCCTCAGTTATCTGATCAGAGGTTGTTTTCATCAAGCATTAGCCAGACATTCTGCATTCAGACTGACTTGGACCCACTGCTTTGAAGTTCATTTCTTAATGTAATTGAATGTGTCTCGGGCCACAGAAAGGAACACATTGCTTCATTTTGTCCCGCTTTTTAAAGTAACTCCCTTAGTATTCTGATATCATTATAAATGAGTTATCTTTCATGAAAGAATGTGCGCGAATATGTGAGGTACTACTGTCAGTGTTTCTTAGGCTTGTGTGACTGTTTTGGCCATAAGCTCTGCTGCAACCGCATTGGACCACACAGAGAGCTGAGATGCTCACAAGAAGAACAACACGCTGCAAAGCCACTGTGATTACATGCCTTTGCTATTCTTGCATATTTTACAATTCATTCTCCAACAAAACGATAAGCTTCTAAACATCCCGCTTGGATTGAAATGATTATTTTGACAACAAAACTCACACAAACACTTTTTTCTGTTTCTAGTAGTAACATTTTTTTGCTGTCTCACCCGCATTGTTTCGCATGCTGTCTAGGGCAGTGCCAAGGGCGATGGGCGGAGACGGGGAGAAGGTGGGGGGCACAGTATGATGCTTGTCCCCCTCCTGAGGGCGACTCTTAGAGGTCTCAATGCCTTTCACTCTCCTGGCATGCCGGTTTCCTTTGTAATGGGCTTCTGCCTGATTCTATAGGAGAAGACAGACAAAAAAACATGTTTATGTTGTAAGTGAACAACAATGCCAACAGGTGAATAGATCATTGCAGGCTTGATTAGACACACTGTGACACCCGCACACACATGTACTTGTCATTATGATAGCATGTTATTCAATAGGCCCTATACTCTGAGCCACAGACAGCAAGCAGGTTTACACTGGATGGATAAATGGATAACAAGCTTGGGAACAAAAAGATGCAGTGATGGAGACATTCGAGACCTAGACCCGTCTGTCACTAAGCCATCTTTTTTCAGGCTTTAAAATTAACAATAAATAATCATGCAGTGTATTGAGTCTAAGAATACCTCTGTTTTCTGGATCACACGTTTATCTACTTAGGGCATATTTGCTCCGCTCAAAGTTTTGACATACTTTACATCATCTGTAGTCTAAACCTCTACATACATCCTGACAGTTCTTGGCTCCAGCTTTTATTACTGCAGCCATGCTGACAGACATGCCAAGGGGAGTTGAACTGGGGGTCAGTGAGATGCCACACTATCTACCCTCCTATAACACACACGCATTATTATTAAAGTAAATATTATCAGTGGGAGGCTGGCATACATGGGCTCCTAGTACAACAGAAATACTGTGATCGCCTTCAGCTGCTTGCAACCTGGCAGCTAAAACCCTGTCTGTAATATCTCATAGAAAGATAAAATGCAATGTGGACACTGAGTCTGGAGGTTTTCAGGGACTGGAGATCATCCTGCATTCCAGCAAAGAAAAAAAATGGTGCAGAGATCTATTACAGAAGCTAGTTTGGCTAATCTCATGATGAAAGGCTAGCTACTATGTGTTTGTTCAGAGGGTAAACAACTCATTCGTCAGGAGAGTCTGTCTCTAGTCTGTGTATGTTTGTGTGTCTGCACAGAGGTATGTGCGTCTGGAACAACATGGCGCATGAGATGCAGGGTTGCTATAGCTGTCTCTGCCAGTGGCCTATAGCTTCACAGTATGGTGACTGTGAAAGAAAACACACACAAATACTCACACACATATAGGGGGACAGGGTGTATTCACGTATTTGCCATCTGTTCGCCCATTCTTTACCTCCCCACCATCAAGGTTTAAGTGCCCCTCAATTAAAATAAAAAAGGCTCCATACTGATACAGACACATTATATCAATGCAGCACTTGAGTCAGATAGCTCCCTGCTGTCTCCACAAGTATCTTGTCTGAGCAGATGTGTCCTGTCACATTGCTAAATAATCTTTGGATCGAGGGGCCAGTGATAAAGATGATAATCAAGTAGCTGGTACAGTTAGTTGCCAGGGAGAGACATGGTCTTGAAGAGAGGCTGACAGCTGCTATAGGTGCTGAAAGGCTTGGAGAACTTAGGACATCACTGACCACAGGTTCAGGAGTGTGCATAGACTGGCAGGGGGCAGAGGGCGTTGAGTAATGTTTGTAAGCCCGGTTGTGTATGTTTACTGTATGTGTGTGCCTGATGGCATCTGGGACGTGAGCTGGCACGGAAAACCAGGGGGCCGTGGCTGAAGTGATTTAGATGATCACATGTTTCTTGTAAATCATGATGACAAACTGAGCTCTAGATATAGCAGACCCTCTGTAACTGTACCCTGTCAATTGGGTCTTAAGAAGCTGCTTTAGATCAAGGTGGAGAGAGATGTGGGTGCAAAGGGGGGCGGGGTCAGTAGGGCATGCCGACAGAGATGTGATCTCTCAGATAAAAGAAGGAATAAGGGGAGATAGAAGAGCACATGGTGCACGGCGTAGCCGCCACATATAGGCTCTCTTAACCTCTCCCACCAAGCCAAGTGGATTAATTGCTGAGCAGGTGAGCATCAGTGTGAGATCCTGGATGAAGAGAAGAGAGAGAGAGCGTGGAGGGAACATGGAGGCGATATGGTGCACAGCCAGGGAACTACAAGACAAGGAAGGTTATTTTAAGAGCTGGACTCTGGGAATGATATAAAAGAGACACAAATCTCAGAGAGAGAAAACGCTGCATCACATCAGCCTGTAATGCCTGTGTTTCATTATGCAAAGGCTTCAAATTGAGAAAGTGCTTTCCAGCATGACTATCATTCTGAGGGGAAAGCCGTGATGTTACAGCATAGCTACAGCTGCAGCTCCAGATGAGACAAAATGGGAGATAAAAAGGAGAGGAAGCTAAATGTAAAAAAAAATGACGGATAGACTGGCAAGATAAACAAGCAGGAAACAGAGTGAGGGGAGGCGGCAGGGAAGTAGAGAGGAAGAGGAATAGAATAAGGAATGTATATCAGCCAATAGTCTAGCTGCAGCAGCTGTGACGTTGGTCAATGCAGTGGGACAGAGCCTGTGATGTCACTAATGCAGCACGCCACCAAGGTTATTACAAACCACCGTTTAACACCTCACACCACCACACAACGCAGGGACAGTGAGGCACAAACCCTCCCCTGATCCATTCCTCCTCTCCTCTCTTTCCCCTCCATGTCTCCTCGCTCCCACTTACCCAAGATGCACTGGGGCTGTCAGAGCCAGACACTAATCCATGCCCTTGACAAATGCATCTTATAACAAGTAGTGGCAGGCAATTTTAGGCATTTCCACACTGTAAATAATGTAGCATGAGAGAGGGCGACAGATAGAAAGAGTGGGAGAAGGTTGCTGAGAGAGAGAGAGAGAGAGAGAGAGAGAGAGAGAGAGAGAGAGAGGCACAGAAAGAAAGAGGCAGAGAGAGAAAGATCAAATGGGGACGCATGGATGATGGCAAAATGATGCGTGAAATGAGGGGAGCACGGGGTGCGAGCAGGAAGGCAGAACTGGATGCTTTTGAAGACAAATACATTGGTCATGACTTTACATGGTAAGCCCCATCACTTTCTTCGACCTAAACAACCCAATTAACTCACAGATGGCAGATGAAAACTGAGAAATGTCAGCATCAAGGGCAAAATGATTGTTCTCTCACAAGACAGAGCCCCGGACTGGAAAAATGAGGCGGGGAATTCTTTGAAGTGTTTCCCGCTGTCTTATTTTCACCCATGAAATATTCATCCTGACTTGACATTATGTAAAAGAGAAGTGTGGGTGGGGAGTCATTCTATGGTGACGTAAAGGACAATGTTTTCTCCAGCCGAGCTAGTAGGACAGCACAAATTACATACAGTTTGACATTGCTGGTATACTGCAGTGTACGCTTTTTTCTCCTGTACACCGGAAGCGAAAGTGACAATGACAGCAGAGAGGTGGTGTAGTCCTATCATAATCCTTTTTTTTCCGTCTTTTTTTATATTTTAGGGCGGATGTGATGGCAAAAAGACAGTAAAATCTGGACACATAGCTCTCATTAAAACAATAGTTTAACCATTAGGTTAAATATTTAAATTCCTCACAGATTTACTGTATATCCGAACTTTATCCATCAGGAAATGTTGTTAACCACTAGCTGTGGGGCTCAAAGTATTTCATTATGTAAACATATTTATTTCCTGCACCTGTGAAGATATACAGCAGAAAAATCTGCAAAGAGTAGGTTTAAGATTACAGCCCTACAGCTTCCTGACCACATGGAAACCATAATTGTAGACCTGAGGAGTATATATAGCACCAGTCCACTCCTTAATGTTGTGTATTGTGGATGGCTGTACGCCCTGGCCCTGAAGTCTGCACCAATGAATAGGGAGCATCACAGCCAAATTATACACTGCACACATGACATTTGGCATTGATTTGTGTCTATCCTATTCATCCACAGCAAGAAGAAAAGACTGAAGATGTGTTGGCAACACATAAAATACTTGCATCATTTTCGTTTTCTTTAATTTATCATCAGTCATGTACTATTTGCAAGTTGCTCCGGGGTATAACGTACCATTAAACTCCCATTATGAGTTTAGATACAAACTACAGCATATGAACAAAGAGATGAAAATACTGTTTAAATTAGAAAATTCTAAAGAGATTCCTACACCATGGCATGCTGGAGTGAAATTAACTTTACACATGTTGAAGATCTTACTCAAGCTTTGTCGACATTGAAAGAGAAAATCCTATTTCTCTCTCTCTGCTTCTGCAGCAGCTCTCTCGGCTTTGTGTTGCAGTGATTATTGCTACTAACTCCACACCGAGATAAAATAAATTAAATTCCAACGGGGTCGCAACTGCCAAAACACAGCCCAAACAAATGTACCACATACTCTGAGTCAACACCCACTCTCTCTCGCAAACAGGATGGAAAGCCTTCCAACACATTCCTACAGAAAAGGCGTATGAGGTGAAAGGTGTATGCGTATAAACAGCAAGATACGGCATATTTAATGACACTTGGGAAATGCAGACACCCCGAGAGATGGATTTATTGTATTTTTCTGTACCTCTGAGTTGAAGCGGATCTGGCAAACGTTACAGGAGATGACAGGCCGCTTGGTCTTGATCAGTGGAACTCCAAAGGTGTGGTTGATCACGGCCTTCTGCACCGGATCCATCTGTGAGAGAAAATAACAAGGAAAGAGACAAAGAAAGAGAGGCATCTGTGAGCTATAATTCATACTCTTTTGCTACAGTCCTGTGCTCCAGAAGTCCCGGTGCTACAAGTCAACAGGCCTGCCCATGCACTCTACATCGGATGGTAGAGACCAGTGTAACGTGGAGAGGCCCACAGTTTTTCTGCCCAAGAGACTAAAGTTGAAAGTCTAACTGACCACATGCATGGGTGGATAATGTGTGTATTTATAGTGTCAATGCAATGTTTGCTGTATATCTGTGTTTTTGTTCAGCAAACAGTGGTCAACTATCGATATAATGCTACAACTGAGACACCTGTTGCATCCTACCCAAGCTCAGCCCTCTGATCCTGACCAAGGTGTAGTTCATACTGTCCCCGTGTTAATTGTTTCAGCTGGGACATCCATCATCTACATTGTGTTCAGCACCTCGTGTAAATTTAACTTACTCGCTTTCAGAGCTCTAGAGGGTAGGTGGCTAAGCCGTCCACTTAAACTCTGTCCCAGACACAAAAGACCCTGCCTGTACCAATCTAAAAGGGCTCCATTCCAATTATTTATCTGTTTGAAGCTCCATTTATCTAGTGACCATTGTTAATTGACCTTAGCATTAGTCTGGAGTCCATGGCTGGGGAGGATTTCCACCACAAACAATTGTCTGGCACTATGTCTACAGTTAAATCAGGCAAAACGTATAAGATGATGTGGCACTGTATGAATATGCAAAACGAAAAAAGAGAAAGAAAAGTCCCTGGCTGAAGAACACAATGGATATGATGCTATGTGTTTTGAATTCATAAGGCACTCGGGGAATGTTCCAGACAGTCCTCCAAGTCTGATGCAAGCCTCTTGGTTTGGAGAGGGCTACAGACTGTAAATGACTCAATTTGGCTCATCTCTACGTGCAATTGGGCAAATTACCGAACTTTCCCTGAAGCTATCTTGCACCCAGAACCATAGTCTCATCTAAAAGCCAAATGGCTCAAGACTCTGGCGTGACGGAGACAAAAGAGTGGCTAAAATGAATATTCTTATAACTCATGCACTAACAATTTCAATATCTGCATGTTACTCGGCAACTCCAAGAAAAGGGTAAACAGAGAGAGAATGAAATGGGAAGGAGGCCCGAGACATTTAGCTGGGTGACGCGACGTTACAGAAACACACCATCTGGAGGAGCGAATGAGTGAGAGATTGGGAGAGGAAGATGGATTGGGACAGATAGAGAGAGAGAAAGGGAGGGAGAAATGGGAAAGAACCCAGCTATAGAGAGCAAAAGAGGCCCATGCCGGACATCCTCACATTCCACATTCTTATCTCATATGGCTCTCTTTCCCATACTCCACGTTCCTTGACTCCCTCTATTTCTCTCCCCAGAAACAGCCTAAAGTAGGCTCTACTGCTGCTGTGAATTGAAATGGATCGAAGGGGAGGGGCGGATTTTGAGCAATGACATTTGTGGATTAATACTACCTGAGCAACTGCATGAATACCTCAGCTGTGACTTTGCAATAGCCAGCTGAAGAGAAGAAAAATCATCTCAACTTGTTTGTGAAATTTTTCAAACTCCTGCCCAACGTTACCCCAACTCCCACAGTACAAGCAAACATAGCTGAAATGCTGAATGTTAAATACTGCATGTCGGTGTCATAACTGTGACCCATCATCAAGTTTAACAAGGGCTTGGTGGTGTAACGGTAAACATGAATCATGGGCTTCTCCCCAGCCTGTCATACAGTGCTCTGGGTGTGGGTCAGCTAGGATCCATCCAGCCTATTCAGCTGTTAAAAACACCGCCCAGCTGCCAATAAGACTTTTTGGACGGCAGCTCACATGGCCTCTATACCCATTTATTCTCCAAAACATGACCTCATGAAATAGGAACTGTGCCTTGTGATGTAACGGCAGAGGGATTTTCCAAAACTCACTCAAGTTGCTTTTAACCAATTTTGAGAAAATCAGCAAATCAAACTGTTTGTATATGTAGTGAGAGCTCTGACGGATGTTGGCACACAGTCCACTGACTTAAGAATCGCTCAGCGGTCACATGAACAGCTCCACAGGGCCTCAAGACCCAAACTCCTTAATGCCTTTTGTTTACACAGAGTTTCTTCTGAGGAGAAACAGACCAAAGAGCAACCAAGCATCTCTCAGAGCACTGCACAACAACACGCACCGAAATTCACGACATCCCCATATTTTACAGTCTTTTTCTTTTAACTCTCACTTCTCTCCAGTGTTTATTTTTCAGTCTTTCATCCTTTCTCTGTTTCTGCTTCCTCTCTTCTTCTGGTGTGTTTGATCAGTTATCAGCAACAAAAATGTTTGGAAGGGTTGAATTCCAGCAACGAGGAATGCACTGTTCTGTGACTCTCGGTGGGACCACTCTGGCAGTCACACTAAAGTCTCCACTGTGCCAGATGAAAACAGCCTTTGGAGCTTTGAATTCTACAGTACTTTTGAGTTGTGCCCATGAAGACACAATTGGGTGAAAAAAAGTACTCCAAGCATTTAGGTACTTACCTTCTTCTCCTCTGTGTCTGATGAAGCTTGGAGCTGCATTGGTCCTTCCGTGTGTGTGCTGACCGTGAGTTTGAACCTCAGCATGTGTGAGATTGAGAGTCTGTGGTGCACCTTCCTCGCTCATTCAGCCCCCTGGTTGGTTGTCAATGCTGAATACAAACTAACTCACTAAAAAAAACAAAACTCACTTTTTTCGAGTGATACATTGCAAGCTACGATTTCTTTGTTTTCCCCCTTTTGGCACACTCTCTGCATGTCTTTGAAATGCTGCATGAGAAGAAGTAAGTGTCTGCTGTAAGGATTTTCTCAAATCTCTGCCTTACTCTGTTTTTTCACTGACACATCACCTAACAAGTGCCTGTCCCCTTTGATCCGCCTCCTTCTCTCCTCTCAGCTGCTTTCTCTCTCTCTGCCTCACGCTTCCCTGTAGTGCATTTCCCTCAGTTTGCCTTTCAGTTTTCTCCTCCCCTCCCCTTCCCTCTGTCTCACTCTCTCTCTCTCTCTCTCTCTCATTCTGTCTCTCCCTCTGCCCCTCCCCCCCCCTTCTTCATGCATACTAGATCTGTCCAGATGTAGCCAGGATCGGGTGACCTACTCCCCTCCTGCTCGACTCTCCCCCTCTTCACCAAGTTCACACCATTTACCAAATGTCATCATCAGCTACTAGAGCTTTTGCCTGCTCCATCAAACCCCAAGCAAACCACATATGACTACACACACACACACACACACACACACACACTACCCTTTTATCTGGTTTCACACCGGTTTGAAGGCATGTGTGGTGATGCCTTGCAGCCAGACATTGGGGCACAGAAGATCTGATAAAGCCCCAAAACACACTCTAAACGATTACTATTTTGATTAGTCTGAAACCTGAGGAGGCAACAGGTGTGACGACATATCAGTCGTTGTTCTGGGTGCCATTAGTGCTGCCATAAGACAAAGAATAAGAGTTGTTTAGGAGGAGAGTGATAAAAGATATAAGAGGAGCTGGGATGGCAGGTGAGATTCAACAAGTCTGCACACGACTTTGTATGATTGGACACTTTCTTTGGAAATTCCTGCCTTTGCAGCCCGAGCAAGCCCACATCAGGGCATGCACCTCGGCTCAGAGGTGTATGCGGGTGCGTGTATGTCAGGACCAGCTGCTGCAGTTAAATAATTCAGCCTTGTGACTGTCTAGAGGCACATTGAGCGAGACAGGCAGGTAGAGGACAAATCACATTAGCTGACCATTAAAGCTGTATATGGCTTTAGAAGAGGCCATTCGTCTGCTACGAGGCTAATAACCATCAATGTGAGTCTCATTAAGACTAACTCCTCACAGATCACTTAATAAGAGAGAATGCTGCTATCTTCTTGCAGGGACATTTCTCAGTGTTACTGCTGCTATAATGCTGTGTCTCCATAGTGTGCAAATCATACATTTATATCAGTGTGTTAGTGCGGAAAGGCACCAGGAGGCATCGAAGACACTGGAAATGGTACCTTTTTAATGTCACATCATCTTAGTTGACCCTCCATTCATAGTTGAATGAAAGAGATGAGACCCAAGCACAGTCATGCTCTGATTGTTTAAACATTCTTCTGCCTAAAAGCCCAACAAGCCATAAGATATTGTCACTAATGTAAACAGAGCTGCAAACACTTACTCTATTACTCTAGGTCTTCCTGTAAACTAAATTAAGCAAAAAAACTGTGGAAAACCTGGGGGGCCTCGATAGGAAAGCATCAAGGCAGAGCCCTCATTAGCATCAACCAAAGTTGTGCATTATATTTTTGCAGTTTTCTGCATTCTATACATGCCACAGATAAAACAACTGAGACTGTGCACGACACTTCAGGCATCACATGCTCTTCGCCGAGAACTTTCAGTCAAATATCAACAGTACTATCACGGTCAGTCATTTATCCATTGTTTTTAATGCAATGCAGTAAAAGCATGTAAGTACTGCCCATGTGTATGTGCCAATACACAGTGGAGCTATAAGGTCAGACTGTCCTCCAAGCCTTTCCTATGGCCCCATCTCCTGGCCACAGGGCTGTAAAACACCACTCAGTGCTGGCTCGCAGTCATCAGCAGCAACAGACATTCACAGCATCCCTGTGGACCTTCAGACGTAGCTAATGTTCTGATAAGGACGATGGGGAGCAGAGGGATGTTACAGAACGAGGGAGAGAGAGAGGTTTAGAGGGAGTCCTTCAGAGGCAGACTGAAGAAAGAGCAAGCAAGACTGATTTCAGGGCTGCGCTAGCTGACGCAAGAGTGGAAACTGAGTGCCCGCATAATTTCAGTATCTCTATTAATCCATGTCTGCTGGGTACACTGCAGTTTTAACATCAGTGAGAATTTTTCCACTTATGTAATGGCCCATGGAGGGCTATTAGAAATGACTGTATCGTTAAAATGTGTTTAACAGTGTCTGGACTGCTGTTACTATCCCTGTATTATGCATAGTGAAAGCACTTGCCAGATATTTCCAATTAGTAACAGTGGATTGCTATGTCGCACCTTTGCGAACCGCAGCCGAAAATACCAGGCTGACACATGCAAAGAATAACAGACGTGGTCCAAGAATAGCATTGCCCCACATACAGTATATACCAAGTTTACAGATTTTACGTATTGCTGACAAGAAATGTGTTGACATTCCGTAATGGAGTCTGGAGGAACAGGCGGCACATTATGCTGAGTTGGTGAAATGCAAAGTGTCTCTATGGTCTAATCTAAATGATAAGATGTTAGTCAGGGCCTGGGGAAACAGGAAGAGCCCTCTCCATTGAATTAAATACCACATCAAACAAACTGTGGGGTTTGAAGTACACAGCTGTAAGGATGGCCTTAGAACTGTTCTTTCATTCTGTGCTTTGAATTAAGGAATGGGACAGAGTGTGTTTACATGAAATAATACAGTCTTAGGAACACACTGCTTTCCTTGTAGTGAGGCCTGTCTAACACAACATGCATTTGTGATGTTAGCAGCACCGAAACAATGTAAAGACAATTTAAAGCATTAGAAAGTATATGTTATACATGGGAAGTTATCACATTACCACTGTATTTTGGAGGTAAATACACAGACATCATCATATCCGGCACATTTCCTAGTTTCCCAAATTTTGTGGACAAATTGGCCCTCCTTGTGAGTTAAAAGACTGCAGACATCTCGGTTTATTTCTATCTGTGTGTCAGCATCAACTCTCACCGTGTTGAAATTGTGGAAGAGGTTCATGCTGTGCGGAGGAGGGGCAGTATCCATGGGGAATTGCAGGAAGGGTTTCATGTCCAGGTGGGGATGGATCATTGTGGGGGTCCGCAAGAACGTTGGCATTGCCGCCCCGGCCCGGTTTATTCCTCCTGCACACAAAGACAGAGGAAGATGAATATACAGTACATGCTTATATGTGTGAAACAGAATTAAAACAGCTTCCATGCTGTATGTGCATGCATGCATGTTTAACAACTATAGTGGCTATAAAATAAATAAAGTATAAAATAAAACAGAAATAGATGGACAGAGATAATTAAATGAATTGAATAGCTTATTACAGCCTGCAACATGTTTCCTGGAATCTGCCACTGGATTCCAAAATGAACAATCAGCCATAATTGCCCTGCAAAGCAATTATTTCTCTGCATACAAATCAAAACTATGTGGCACCCCAGTGGAACATGTTATCTCTAAAGTGAGAGAAAAAGCAGCATTTGAGCCGTTAAGGACGTTTGAATGATTGCTGTGGACAAGTTAGCAAAGATTGTCGCGCCAAAGTGCAGCAGCACTGCTGTGCACATGTGCTGTGATACCTAGGGGTTTCTGTTTTTTTTTAGAATTCACATCAACCAAGCATTTCATAATACTAAAACATTCACATCAAATGAAGCAGGAATGCCACAGAGAAGAGAAGACAACCACAGAGGCTGTAGGGATTTATCTTATCCACCTGCCTCTCTTCTCTCCTCTCCTCTCCTGGGAGGCATCTGCAGCTTGATGATAATGAGTTTCATCTCAGCGTGTGTTGCTTTATGTCTGACACATGCTCCTTGCTTTGACTGCATCCAACATGCTGTTTGAGCAGATTTTTAAAAGAGTTAAAAAACACAGTCACTGCAAGGGTATCCTACCACCTGTATATACACACAAACACCCGCGCCACAATGTCAGTGTTTAATTCTCCTATAAAAGCATGCAAGGCTGTTCTAATGATACACGGCTCCCTATTCTCGTCATTGCTCCAATCTGCCTTCTCTCCCTCTCTTCCTTATCCTTCCTCGTCTCCTCTTTAACCTCTGTCAAGGATGATAGTGATGGGGCCCACACAGCAAAACTCAGCCTCACCAGGCTCTTAGATTAAGCCTCTTAATATCCGCAACTGGATTTCTGTGGCTTTCAAATTCCCTCGAGACTTAAAGCTTTGCCGCTCTCCTTTTTGGGATTGCTCTAAGCTACTCTCTCGCTCCATTACTTGCTGTCCCTCGCTCTGCATCCTGCTCAAACTCGCTTCTACCTGCTTCGACACTGTCACATAGCAATTTGAGCATTATTTGACACCTCTGCATTTTCATCAAGCTTTATGTCAACTGAATTTGATCAGAGAAAATAATATGGCTGCCGCATTGGAGGAATATGGTGTAAGAAGATCTATGCAGTTTCCAAAGTTTGGATTAGAGAGAGCGAGAGAGAAAGAGATAGAGGGAAAGAGATTGACTTTGTCAGACTGAGAGAAAGTGCTGTCTCAGCAGAAGCCCAGCCGCCTTCTGCTGCGCATCTGTGGGCCTCAAGGTGGAGAGTACTGCATCATTACCCGTAGTTGGGCATTTTTCCACAAATATACAAATGAACGCACATGTATGAATGCAGAAACCCACGCTCACAAACACAACCATTTTTAAACCATGAGAAACAAGTGCCTGATGGTTTTCCAGCTGGTGGATTGTACTCGTCTCATCATCTCAGGCTGACTCAGCACTCTTAAACACTGTCAAACATCCGTATAAATATCGAAAAGTAACACATCTTTGTGTGTTGTTCCTAATTAGAAAATCTCAAACTTCATTTTTAAGTGTATGTCACAAAAAGAAATTTAGAATTACAAACATCCAGTTTCCTCAGGCAGTCTTTTATGCTGAGCTCCTCCTAAATGCTGTTTGTTGTGATGAGGGAGGACGGGAGGTCCTGTAGCTGCTCTCTCCTCCTCTACCTCTATGACTGATGAAGGCAGCTCCTCCTCTGGGGCTGCACCACTAACAACATGACTAATACACTTCCTCTTGACTGCGTTTGTCATGACACTATACCACATGTTGATACATGGCCTGCGTTCGTTTCTGTGGCTCTTTGTGCAGGAATGTGTGTGTGTGTTTTGTTTGGAAGGAGTGCCTCTGTTGAAGTTGCACAGTTGAAATGTTTGCAGCTCCCCAGTGAGTCTGCACTTGAACATGAAGACTGATGCTGGCACTGGGTCAGCCAGCCTCTGGCAGGCAGACAAGCAGATAGAGTGGCTGACCATGGAACAGAACGTGTCTCTGCAGCAGCATGAGGAGCTGAGATCTGAGGAAGTGAATGGAGATGAGGACCAGAGAGAAGAGGGAGGAGTGGTCGTCCTTGGGGCAAAGACACAATCTGTCCCATCAGGGACACTGTGTGTGTGTGACTGCTTTCTTTTGCCAGTGTATAATTACCCCATTAATTTAAACCTCTCTTTGGGGACCTTCCCACACTGTAAATCAAACAAATCGCTGAATGGAGCCGGAGTTTGCATATGTGTGTTGGAGCAGTGTGTGTGAGTGCATGCTTGTATGTGGTCCCACCAGACTCTACTCTGCAGAATGACAAAATATTGCATTAGATCCAGTGCTAATAAAATGATATGCTGTAAGTGTTTCTTATATTTAAAAAAAAATATTTGTTAACAGAACAAGATAACCACATGCCACAATAAAACCACAGCCAAAGTTCGCTACCGTGCACATCTGTAACACTAGTGCTGAATTAATTCTTTGATTAATCAACAGATAATTAATTGAACAAGCAAAAATACTGTAGCCTACAGTCACTGAGTCTTGCTTCTCAAATGTGAGATCATTGTAATTTAAAAAACCTCCAGTTAAACAAAACAAGCAATTTGAAGACATAACCTTGATCTTAAACTGTGACGGACACTTTTCTCTATTATCTGATTAACGCTGATTGAAACAATTACAAACAGATATGTATTACTGTCACAAATGAGCTGGTACATAACAGTGTCGTTGCTCTAATCCCTTCCTCGGTTGATTTCAGACAGAACTGTCAACTCAGTACACTCAGACTTGGCGGAGTGGGTGGATTCAAAGGTCCGGACCCGGGCAACCCTATACGGGTTTTTCAGCCCGATATGTGTGAGTGTCTGTGTGCCACAGAGTGACAGACAGGCCAGTCTGGAAGAGCTGAGAGGACTCGGACAGTGATTTGAATGTAGTTAAACCCTCTGACACGCCAGGAATCCTACCAGACTCGCAGGGGCCATAATCAGAGCTTTTAAACGGCCTGCGGGACACCACCAGAGGGCTTTGTGTTGCAGCAAGTGGCTTGCTTTAAGTGTGCCTGTGCGTGAGCTTTTAGGGTTCTATCTTTGTGAGGGCCATTTTGAGTTTGGACCTTGAAAATAAGGAGATCTTTCGTAAAAGTAAGGGTTTAGGTTAGACTTTTCTTTGTAATGGTCAGCATTGAAAAAATTAGAGAGCAGGTAGTAGAAAGATCAAAAGCGAGAGTGACTGATTCTCCTATTTGGAATAATTTGCCAGCCTGCATTGTCCTGAGAAATCTGCTTTTGGCCACATCCCCATCTCCACTTATACATATACTGTGTATATATATATATATATATATACACTTATACATATACTGTATATATATATAAAATATGTGAAAATAACACATAAGCAAAGTGTTTCCTGTACCTGTGTTTCCCGCCTCATGCAATAATTATGATTTGATGATGTATCATGATGATTGTAAAAAAAACAAAGCTCAGGAACTATTTCAAAGAATCAACCTAATGATCCATCAACCAAAATATATTCATCAATCAAACAAAGGGGTTTCACATGATGATTTTAAAATGAAAGGCTATGTACTGTTTTGTATATTACTTCATCAATGTGAAGTTGTTATGCTCTTTCAGGATTGTGTTCTCTCCAGTGAATGTCTCTAGAAACTGAAGCTAGAGGAAAAATCTCCATCGGGCGTTTTCCTTGTAGACGGTGCAGAACAAAAAGCTGTTTCCAGAATCTAGGCTAAGAGAATCTTTTCATGTCTTGAGATTATCTAACAGGCTGTGTAGGTTGTGTCACACTGTGTTCAGCCTTCTTTCCCATGGGCGTTGGGTGCATTCAGGGGAGAACAATGGCAGCAGGGTAGTTGGCACCAAGCACGCTGGACAGGCACAGATGTGCCAGGGTTGTTGGCAGCAGAGGCAGAGAGAAGGAGGAGGTAACAGTCAGGCTGCCAACTTGCCTTTCTGCCGGGCCGTGAAGCAGGCACCTGTCCTCCACATGGCCCAGAGGGGTGGGTGACATCAGCTTATAGTTAGTGCTGATATGTTTGGTATGGGAATATTACTGACAGAAGATTGAATACTTTAGATAATACAGGATCCACCTGGGATAAACAAAATGAAATGACAACTAAGATATATTGGCATCTCAAAGTTTTGGGCCACGCAGCAGCTTTAGTGATTATCTGTGCAGTGTTCATAATTTACTTTATCGAACTAGTGTGTGCGGCACATTGAGATTGAGATAACTGCTGGCTCTAAATCCTGAGAAAACCTGACCTCGGCTTATGTATACATTATTGAGGGAACTCTGAATCAGTGAGATGCTTTAAAGAGACCTTCCCCAACATAGTCTCCCTCATCAAACCTCTTTTTTTCTTTATCTCTCTCTCTCTCTCCCTCTCTCACACATTCTTTTCCATGCACACTATCTCATAACCACTGAGGAGGAGACTTCACGAGACCTACATGCTACACTGTTTGTGGTCAGCTGAAGCTTTCGGTCTTCTTTGTTTTGTCCCTGCTGGTGTGCTTTTTCATATGGGTTGTAGTGTGTGACTAGACTGGCCATCTGTCTGTCTGTCTGCATTTCTCCAACCATCTCTCTCTCATCTCGGTCTCATTCGCTCCTTGCCTCCCTCATGATCAGCCCAGTGTGTATTCCACGCTGAACACAGCTGTGCCCAGGCCTACAGGACTAACCAATTCATTTCAGCGGTGGAGGCAGCATTTGGACACAGGGTACAAGAAGACAGAATGAAAATTTGGTCATTCAGTATTTCCTTCCAGTCTGGCTCAGCAGGACTGTGTGCCTCCCTTTCA